AGAGAATAAAGATGGGAATGTGATTCTCTAAAATGATACAATAGTTTTTTTGACGGTAGCTGATCGAAAAACACAACCGAAATAGCATCTATGTGAGCAATTAGATTACGTATTTATATACCAAAGTGTAACTTTATATATCGAGATTTATATATCGTGACTATCAGGATAGCCAGTAAAATAACAATGCGCCTGTGACATTAATTAATTATAGATCAACCGCAGCAGACTAGATGTCTAGCTTCGCAGTTGCTTTGTTTTCAGTTACAAAATTATTTTGAATTTCTCGAATCCATCTCGGATCTTTCTTCCCATAGTCGTTTTCGTCTTCGTGTGGAGCTGTTGTATCGCTAGAATTAGATAATACAAAAATTATAAATGTTCAATAATGACAAATATTTACATGATCTTTATTATGCTCTAATGGTTCCTGCACACTGAACGCGAAAACGTTTACCGCGCGGCAAAATATTTTGAGAAAAAGTTTGTGGAATTTTGTTAGCTCAAAATTATATAAAGTAAAGCATTTAAAACAGGTCACCTGAATAACTCGCTTGTTTTTAACAATGGAAGGAAAAGTGCCAAACAAAAATTGCATGGTTTCAAGGAAGTCGTATTTTTGTCATGTTTTCTTTCTTCTAGGTGGAGGAATTGTCACAAATAGAAATAAAATTAGAATTTTTGTTGACTAGATGACTACATTATGTTAAAACGTCTATAGATAAATATCTAAACAGCGTGTATATAAAGCTAGAAATGATTAACCAAATTGTTGTACATAAAGTCATAAATAATTGACGAAATTGTTGTAAATTTAATATAAGCCCTCTCTATCCGTTTTCATTTTTTTAAATTTTTTTATATGTATCATTTCTAAAATAAGTTTTTTACTGTACATTTTTTCTGCATCCAGAAACTTGACTTGATACCAATTAAAATCATTGTGATACATCTTAATCTACACTGGGTAACAAAATTAACGCAACACTGTTTCACTCTGCAAAAATAGGCAAATTTCAAGATACAATAACTTCGTCAAAAATTGTCGTATCGGGATGTTTAAAAAAGCATTTTACAGATTAAAATCTCTACTTTTCAGATCACTACTTAAAAAAATGGTCTCATGGAGATTTTATGAAGTTACACAAACATAAATGAAGATATATCAGATTTTAAAATTTTTTATGAAATTTACGGAGTTCCACGGAGTGGAATAAAAATTGTATACAAATGCGATTTACATTATTCGAAAGAGCGAATGTTTATCTACAACATTGAAACAAAAGGGCTATTTTTGCTTCAACGTTGAATAACTCGATGAAAAAAAATCGTACGGAGCTTCGTAAAAAAGCAAATTAAAAGTAAAGATTTGCTCTTTCGAATGATGTAAATCGCATTTGTATACAATTTTTATTCCACTCCGTGGAACTCCGTAAATTTCATAAAAAATTTTAAAATCTGATATATCTTCATTTATGTTTGTGTAACTTCATAAAATCTCTATGAGACCGTTTTTTTAAGTAGTGATCTGAAAAGTAGAGATTTTAATCTGTAAAATGCTTTTTTAAACATCCCGATACGACAATTTTTGACGAAGTTATTGTATCTTGAAATTTGCCTATTTTTGTAGAGTGAAACATTGTTGCGTTAATTTTGTTGCCCAGTGTATAATAACAGAATGTGTTGTTGTTTTTCTACGTATATGGTTAAAATGTTCTAATATTCTCATTTTTAATTTTCTACTAGTTTGTCCAACGTAGGATGCATTACAATTCTTACAATCAATTTTATATACAATAAAACATTTATTTTATTGAAGTCCGGCAGAGAATCTTTATATACTTTAATAAACTGGTTTAATTTCATGTTATAAAAAGTTACTTTTTTTGTATATTGTTAAGCAGGTTTTTAAATTGTTCAGAAACACCTTTAAAATAAGGAAAAGTAAGCCACTTGTGTTTTATCTGATTTATGATTTCAGGTGTTTCCTGTAATTTTTGTTTCAAAATTTTTTTATTGGTTAAACATTAAATTCTCTCTGCTATTGTCTCAAAGATGAATTGTATAGGATAGTCATTATTCAAAAGCACTATTCTGTACTATTAGATTTTCTTGATGAAACTCTGAATGTGATAAAAGAAACTCTTTGTCTGTGAGTTCTATAATTATGCCTCTTTTTTGGGAAACATGATGCTGGGACCAAAAACTTAAAAATCTCCCTGACGATGAAGATTTTTAGTACCAATTTGAATTTAATATTGTTATTGTCAACCATAATCGTAGTATCCAAAAAATTAATTTTATTGCCGCCCACCTCCAACGTGAATTGTGATCTAGGATGATAATCGTTAAATCTACTTAGAGTTTCATTTATAGCGTATGTAGGGATAGCCATAACTATATCATCTACGTATCTATAATAAAAAGGGATAGGAAAGTTCAATGACCTCAATATCTTATTTTTCAAATCCTGCATAGCAAATCAGCCATCAGGAATGTTACAGTTGACAGAGATAGTCTCCCATCTCCTCGATAGAGCTTCAATTACCAATTCTAAAGGAATATTAGTGAACAACGATGTTACGTTTAAAGATATTGAACAAAAACCTTCTACTTTTTTATACGAAATGCTCTGAACCAATTCATAGCAGTTACTAATATGACTTATAGCTTTAGGAATACCTTTGATGATTATGTTATGTATAGGAAAGAAGCAAACGAATACAATGGGCTGTCAATACTTGAGATTATAATTCTGAATGGATGATTTTGTTTGTGCACCTTCGATGTGACGTATTGGTAATATACCATATCTGCAGGAGATGCTCTTGTATGTCATTTCCGAAATATATTCTAGTGATTTCCATCTAGTGAGAACAGATTTGAAACTACTGATAAGTTTGTTCGTGGAATCTTTTTTAACCTTGGTGTACATTGATCCATCTTGCAACATTTTGTTAACTTCATGTAAGAATCTTTGTTTAAGACTACTATTGCCTTTGTCAGCTTTCGTGAAGATCACATAAGAATTAACATCTATGAAATTTCTCGTTCTCTTTGTCATATATAGAATTCGTTTCCTCTCATAAATTTTAGATGGTGAGTATGAAAGTAATTTCTTAATGACGGCAAACGATTGATTTCTTCCTATATTATGTTTTTTTTTTATGTTATTTTCAATATTCTTTATCAACTCCATAATTAGCTTCCAATTGTTAGGTTGAGACAGCGAAAAATTATCTCCAAGTCGCAACAAGCACTGTACTTCTTCTGATATTATTGTTGACGACAGATTTACCAGCCATTTTTCTTTGATAGTATCTAACGACAACGAGATTGTGTCATTACTAAATGTCAATGGATTCACAGTAATGTTGCAGGTAGAGTCCTCATTGTCATTTGTTAGTTTTTTATGTTTAACTGTAACATTCTGAAAGAGGAGCTTCTTAAGGTTGTTCAAATGGTTCTGGACTTAACTTTTTTTGTATTTGATGGACAATTTTATAAACAAAAATTTGAAACGCCGATGGGATCACTATTATCTCCTATCGTGGCTAATTTATTAATTAGTTATGCAGGATTTGGAGAACAAGATGCTGGAGTCATTGGACTTTCTTGTCTCTTTTTATTATAGATACATAGATGATATAGTGCTGGCTATCCCTACATATGCTATCAATGAAACTTCAAGTAGATTTAACGATTATTATCCTAGATTACAATTCACGCTGGAGGTAGGGGACAATAAAATCAATTTTTTGGACACGATTATGGTTGACAATATTAAATTGAATTGGTACTAAAAACTTTATCGTCGGGGAGATTTTTAAGGATTTTATTGGTTCCAGCATCATGTTTCCCAAAAAAGGGGCATAATTATAGGATTTACAGACAAAGAGTTTCTTTTATCACATCCAGAGTTTCATCAAGAAAATTTTGATTAATAGTGGATGCTTTTAAATAATGACTATACAATTAATCTTTGAAATGATGGCAGAGAGAATTAAATGTTTAACCAATAAGAAAACTTTGAAACAAAAATTACAGGAAACACCTGAAATCATAAATCAGACAAAACACAAGTACAGTAAAAAACTTATTTCAGAAATAATACATATAAAAAGTAAAAAAAAAATAGTTTAAATTTAAAAACGGATACAGAGGGCTTACATCAAATTTACAACGATTTAGTCAATTATTTATGACTTTATGTACAACGATTTGGTTAATTATTTCTGACTTTATGTACGTGCTGTTTAGATGTTTATTTATATGACCTATAGACGTTTTAACATAATGTACATGTTCAGTTGACTCGTCATCTAGTCAACGTTTGACGAAAATTCTAATTTTAATTCTATTTGTGACAATTTTATATATATTTTTTAATAATTGACTTGTGGGAAAATAATGCATAATTTTAATTATTTGCTGTTCATTTGGTTACAATAGTTGGAGGTGAGTAATTGGTACACTAATAGCAAAATCAACTACGATTATTACTTTAATAATTTTTATAATAATTATAGTTAAGATACATGCAATTCTTTCCATCGAGCTTAGTAACTAGTTGAGTGTAAGGATGGGTCTCATTCCTTCTACGATTGTGACCAGAAAAAAAAACATTGGATGTAACAATGCTGTTTGATTTGATACACAAAATTATAATAATTTAGTTTCTTAATATTGTCATAAGAGATTCACGCTGATGATAGTTCAAAATTGAACCGAAACGTACGTTTCAAAATTTATTTATATGTGATCAAGGTTTCTTTGTAACAAATAATTTTAATTTAATTTGCGCACTGTTAACCATAAAGACTCACATAGCCTTTATAGTAATTTATTTTTCTATATCTTTCATATTTTTCGAAATATTTGTCTGGGGAAATTAAAATGGGACACTCTGTATATAAAACTCACATAAATTAAAAAAATATAGTAACCATTCAAAAGTAGAGATTTCAAGATTTAAAAAGTTTTTTAAATTTAAATTTTAAATTTTCATTTTTAATAAAGATATTCCTGGTAAAAAAATTTTAATGAAATTATTCTACGTTTTGGAACATTTCAGCGAAATTGTTGAAAATTTGCTAAAATTCCACTAAAATTAAATCTTTTAACTAATACACTAAAAAAATCATTGAAACTAAATTGAAATTTCTCTGAAATTTTGTTGAAATTTTTCTGAAATGCTGAAATTTTGCCGAAAAGTGTTCCAAAAAAAAAACATTAAATAATTTAAGCAAAGTTTTTTTTTTAGGGATTGTATATATAATTTTGAGCTTACAAAATACTGCAGACCATTCTTCCAACCCAATATGACGTAATAGCTGTAGCTCCTGACATATTCATTGGTTATCTCGACGCATTTTGCCACGCGGCAAGCGTTTTCACGTCCAGTGTGTAGAAGCCATTTAGCTCGCAGTAAAATAGATTATACATATATACATGTATGAATAAATAATAAGGTTTAAATTTTTTTGTGTTTCCTACCGTTTTTTTAATCTTTTTATATAATATTTAACGTCATAAAACATATCTTAAACTTACCATTACAAATATGACATTTGTTTATTACTTAATAATGAAAAACATCATCAGATTGTTATTCCGGAAGAAGATAGCATCCGGTGTCATATTATACGTGGAAAATGGAATTGCAGGCACATATGGATGGATAATAAGAAGGATTCAATTCCGCGTGATACATATACCATGGCTCTGAGAAGACGAAGACAGTCTAGACATTTAGTTATCGCAACGTGATTGTTACTTATAATCACAATATGTAATTTCCCAAATGTTCCTTCAATTCTGTAATCTCTAAAGTGACTTTTTTTTTTTAATTTAAAAATATCCATATCTATGCTTGATATATACTTGATCCTATGCGCTCCGCTAGTGAAAATAAAAAACGGAGAGTAAGTTGAATGTAAGAAGTGAGCAACAGAAGCATAAACGAAGTTTCAGTTAAGAGACAATAAAATGTAAAAGAGTACGGTTCTCTCTCTCTCTCTCTCTCTCTCTCTCTCTCTTACTCTCCCCTTCTATCCAACAGACATGTCAATTTTTATTTTTGCCTTTCCCTAATGAGAATGATGAGAAGATATGGAATAAAGAAAATTGTAACAAATGTGATGAAGTTTCCTTGTGTGGATGTGTAATTTGGCGCGCATGTGTGCTGGAAAGAGGAAAAAACAATAACAGCTTATACATATTGTACAGTAATTTTTGTGTAAATTGTATTACGAAATGCCTACGTCGAATTATTATGGTAACGATTATAGCGCGAGTCATATACGTGTACTGTCACACACACACACACACACACACACACACACACACACACACACACACACACAC